TATATATATATATATATATATTTGGAGGGGGATAACAGGGGTGAAAGGTGGCAAGGAGCAAAAGAATATAACATCCCACTTGATCTCTCTAGCCAGGCACTTTTTGTTGCAGAGTTGTTCCCTGGCAACTGGGTGCTAGTTTTAGAATTGGGATTCCAGAAAGAGGGGGTTGCCTGTATGCTGTTTGTGACCATCTCTGCTCTAGAATTGATGTATATAATTTTCTAAGAATATGCTAAGAATTTGTATCACTGATCTTTCCTCCAGGCAACCCAACTTACAAAGCCCCCAAAATTTGCTACTGCTGGCCAATGGGGCACCAATATATACAATCTACATTCAAGATGAAACAAAGGAAAGATTCCACTGAAACTTAGGATTTCTCAGCTATCATTGTACTGCACACAACAGCCGTGCAAAATATTTGCAGCCGTCTGGCCAGGAACATCCTGTCCCAAAAGCACCATTTCCCACATCACCATTACTTGAACAAAAGGAAAATCTCTACCACCACAACAGGGCCAATGACACAAAGCTGAGCGTCTCTGGTTTCATTTGGTAGAGAACAGGGATGCACAAACACAGCAGACAACACATGGATATTAGACTTCTTGTTCTGGGTGGGGCTTCCCTATGAAGTGTTATTGTGTTTAACACAAGCTAACTTCGAACATGGCTGGCTAGGGAAAGGAGCAAGAAGATCCAGCTGCTATCAACCAGGTCTTAGTTGATCCCAATGTGGGAGCAATGCTCACCCCGCTCTGAATGCCTGTTTTTCCATCTGTAAAATAGGTACCATATATACCTCACCCTGGGGAAGGGGACAAAGCTTGACTTATTCAGGAGGCTCATGTGAGTACCCATAAAGCCAGATGCCTAATGAGTTAACCTACCTGGACCCTTCCCACGAGATCCCTGGTGCCTTCTGCATGCAGTCAGGCTGAAGATCTGGATCAGATTAGGGTTCAGGAAGCCTAAATGCATCTCCCTGTTCTGCCACAGACTCTCGGAGTGACCACAAGCCAGTACGTCAGGCCAAAAATTTCAAACGTAGCCAGTGATTCTGGGGGCCCAACCCTTGGGCCTGCCTTTCCAGAAAGCAGGGGGGTCTATGTTATAAAATTATGCCTCCTTCAAGGTACCTCAAAGGGGATTCCTCAAAATAGAGCCACCCAAAATGAACCACTTTGGAATGGTGGCTGGATACCACTGCAATAAGCAAATGCACCCACACACCTGCACAAGTGCATGCAGATGCACATGCACAAGCATGTGCAATGCACTCACTGAGGCACTCCATCTCCCTCCACTGGTGGCTGAGCCACAACTGGAAGTTAATGAAACTGCTACAGAAAATCCAGCCAACTCCTCAGCCATGGACACGGCCCTTATTCGTTGTTCTCGGTGCTTCCCAGCAACAGAGGAACAAAATCAGCTGGGGCTTTCTCTGAACAGTCAAGCCACTTCAGTTTGGAGGCCCAAGGCCTCTGGGGAACAGGAGTGGCCTAGCATAACTCCCAGTCCAACAGAATAATCCAACCACCATATTTTAACCCTTTCCTTCACCGGGGAAAAGGCCTTCATGACAGGCAGCAAGGAGAGAATTTGACAACAGTAAAGTCAGAGGCAACCCAGGGAACACAAGAGATGCACAGATCTGCACTCTGAAGCCATTTCAAACCAGCCCTGTTCTTTCGTTTTTGTTGGCGCTTCCATGAATCCTTCACGTCTCTGGGTTAGATTCACAGCCTATGAAAGCAAGGCCAGAACAAGGCCCAGGTACCTCTCACAACCCACAAACAAAGGCATAAATGGGATTTAAGCAGTACCACAGCCTTGATGCCAAAGCTGGTGTGTAAGTCATGCCGCAGTGAGTTAGGCACTGTACCCATGGCTGGTGGCTAGGCTTCATCCTACCTCTCTCAGCTGGGACTGAGTCTCACTCTGCCTGTGAATCACTATGATGCCATATTGAAGGAGCAGCTACCAGATTGCTACAAGTCACGAATCAGCTCTTATTGCCTTTCAGAACGGGCACTAGAGAGATGAAATCTCCAACACACACAAGCACACACAGAGAGGAAGGAAGTTACATAACAGTCCCCAGGACATCTGAGGTTGACGTTATCAAGGAGGGAGATAATGCGAGATTTACAATGGCACACGGCCAACCATTTGGCTTCAGCTTCCTCACATGCCTGCCTCCTTCTCCTCCCAAGCAGGATTAGGTTCGTGTAGGCAGGGAGGAAGCTCACCCTCCAGATAGGGCTCCCTGTCTTTTGGGATCAGAGTCCCCTGGGAGATCTGCTGTGGGGCCAGGCCCTGTGCTACTGTCAAGGTTTTGTTTGAAAACCCATTAGGTTACAATGGGAAAGATGCACATTAGCCACATCAAAATACACGTGCACACCAGGGAATGTAAGGCCAACCTCAATGAATGAAAGGAAATGAGCCCAAGGTTTATATAGACCTGGAAACCCACCAGTAACCCCACAATGTAAAGAATTCATATCTTAGAAACAGTGGCCAATACACCTTATCCCTCACGGCAGAATCATAATGGGCTCGGACAATATTTTTCGCCCAATAGTTCTATCCAAAGTCCTGGTACAGGAGAGTTTCTGAATGAGTCGCCCTCCCCACCGCATCAACCCTTCCCCTGCCTTAGTTTCTACTCCATCCAGCCTTACCCCAAAGCACGGTTGGCCACAGTCTGAGTACCAAACAAAATTGCAGGGTACAATAGGGAGGCTATTGCCGAAAGCTGGAATTTGATTTGAAAGCTGCTTGTTCTGGAAATCAATATCAGTACCACCACAGTAGGGAGGGAAGGTTTTCTATACACTACTTCTGCATTTCTCCTCTAGAGGTTCCCCAACGCCCCCCCAAAATAAAATAAAAAATTAATTAGTGCATGTCACCTACCCCAGGTAACGTCTTCTGTTCATGCAGTGCGCTCTGGGCTTTCAGGGCAGAGTCCCGGGCACAGTACGTGAGAAAGGCACAGCCTGGAAAGAGTGGAAAGAACAGCATTAATGTGCTGATACCTTGCCAGAGCTCCTACCCAGATGGTATGGTGCAGGCCCAGCAAGAAGCTGGCATGGAGCCTCTCCCCATCTGCAGCAAAGCGCGTGTTTCATCATGGAGCAGGGAGACTTCCATACAGTGAACTGTACCATCCACTTGGGCCTGCCCAGCCCTCTGCCTGATCCCTCTGAACCCCAAGGGAAACAGCCTTCACTGTGCTAAACCTGGGCAGTCAGGCCACATGTTCATATCACTGTGCAAACCAAGCCTGGGCATCAGCTCCACCTTGCTCAGCATGGCAATGCCTCACCACTTGCAGTGCCCAGGAGAGCTAGCACCACTCGGGGCCAGAAAGCTGGACTCTCTCCGGGCTCACGCATCATCAGCCACATCATTACTAGAGTCCACATGGCATAGCGGCATTCTGCCCTCTGTTGCCCTCTGCACCCTCAGTGGAGCATGGCAGTAGGGCAGGGGACAAGGGTAACCCAGGGCAAGACAGGGCTGGAAAGTAATGATGATGGCGGAGTTACAAAGAGCCCAGCCTGACCCTCCAACCCAGGGGGATTAAGCAGGGGTGACACTTTGGGGACACATTTTTACATGCACACAGCAAGGTGTCCCTGAGGCACTGGGAACATGGAGATCATGGCAACCTTTGCACTGAATCATCTCTCACAGGGCTGCTTTAAGAAATTTGGAAAACCCTGCTGGTCACCACTGTATAAATGCCTACAAAGGCAGATGCACCTTGTACAGAGAAGGGGAGACAGAGAGATAGGAGCATGTACAGAGACAGGCAGCAGACAGACAAGTAGGTAACGAAGATGGACGAACAGCCCACTGGATAGAAAGACAGAAGGAAGTATTACGAGGCTGAACAGATGCACAGAGGTGGGCGGAGAGGCAGCAGGCACTGTGGTTCAGTTGCCTGGACTGGACTGCAGTCTGACATGTCACAGGTCTACAGCCTTCTGCCCCCTCCAAGCCTGCCCCAGTGTTTCGTATCATTACTGCCATCAGCACTAAGTGAGCATCAGATTGGTACCGTTCGGACTTCACAGCTTTGTGCTGGGGTCAACGGGAATCCCAGGTGCAAGAGAAAGAGGTCCCAGCCCCTGCTCCGTAAGATTTGTGAGGTAGAAATGCAGCTGCCATACAGAGACGAATCCATTGGAGGCACGGGGCAGGGGGGTGAATGGCCGGGTTGATGTAGGAGTTCGCAGGTAGACGTCTTAGTGAACACACTCCCAGCAAAGGCACGGCTTTGACAGCTCTGGGGGCTGACATCCGCATCGCGGAAAAGCCAAAGGGACTGATTCTGCTCCTTCCCTGGCGTAACACCACTGCCAGCCAGGGAGCAAGACCCGATTGACACTGGGGTGGCTGTGAGCAGGCCAAGGCCCAGCATGTTTGCTCTCTAGGGCTGGCTGCTATTGACAGCCCTGAGGATCACTCTAGAACAGGCTTCAAACCAGCCCAAAGGCCTAAAGCCAAACTCCCATGAAATGGCCATTTCTCAGCCGCACCTTTGACGCACCTGCATGATTTCAGACTGAAATACACCCTCAGGGCTTCCAGGCTGCCTGGCAAGGCTGGGCTGGGCTGGGCTGGGCTGAGGGAGCTCAGCGCCACAACACCAGGCAGCTCCTACGCAGGCCGTGTTGGCTGCGCCCGCTCAAAGAAGTGTGGGCTCTGCACGCCAGGAACACAGGGCGCCTATACATGTGCAGCAAGGCGGCTTCAATGCATTGCAATTACAATGCATCGGAGCACTTACCATGCTCCAGCATCTCATGTATTAGCATCCCTGCACTTAACAATGGCGGCACAGATGCTTTAACTAAAACTCATTCGATGAGCTTTAGTTCAAGTGCCCCCACCACCATTTTTCAGCGCGGGGACACTGATACAAGACATGCTCCAGGCGCTTTAATTACAACAGCTCTTGGAGCCACTCTAATTAAAGCCCCTCCTCGCTCCAGAAGCATGTGTATAAATGCCCTTAGGTCTCCACAGACAGAGAAAATGGCTCGCCACAGGGACAGTGGCACAAGGGTTAACAGTCACTTGCAGTCCATATTAGAGCAAGTGTCCCACAGAAATGTCTGCCGTGGGCAGGGGGCCGGGGGAACAGAAACAATGCCTTCTCTCCCCCACGTAGACAGCACCTGCATCTCATTCCCAGAGCCGCGAGAGGTGGTAGGTGCCTTTTGTGGGCAAACTTTTGTGAGGTGGTTCTTCGCAGTAGGAGCTTAGACTTTGTACCTGAAATCTGCCCCACAGCTGCCACCCTTGTGTAATCAGCTACACACTCCTTCCCGCTGTGGTCTCCACACAACTGCATCCTCCAATGGATACGAACACCCCCTCAAACACCCGTGCACTCCAGGCCATGCACCCCTGCCCCATGCCTGCTGCCCTGCAACACATCCCCCCCACAACTGCCAAGTCCCCTGACTCTAGGTAGCTGCTCGGCCCACACTTGCCCCTCTCTATAGCCCTCACGTGCACTCCAGACCCCGCTGTGTCACCCCGCCACACAAGCCACACGCCCCCTTGTCCAAGAAGTGGTTTGCTCTGGGTTCCCAGCACCTCACACCTGCCACTGACCAGTACAGGCATCTGGAGCTCATGCCAGCTCTCAGCATCCGGTCCCAGCTCCTGCCACGCCAGACAGTCAGTGCTAGGAGTAGGTCACTAAGCAGATGCTCCCTGTTCTCTCTGCACGTGTGAAATGAGCTGCAGGTTCCTTGTATATCCCAGAAAGACACCTCCACCCCCTGTCAAGGGGACAAGTGACCCCTGCCTCTCAGAGCCAGATGGGGTGTGGGGAACTACAGCACTTTGCGGCTTCATGTTGGACAATCACATCTGGGCTGGAATAACTTCTAGGAGGGGCTTTACTGGGACTCTCTCTGGGGGGTGCAGGGTGGGAAATGGACTTTCATTCCTGCCGGACCTAGTGGGCAGGGGACCAGCATGCAGGAAGTATGCCAGAGCTGGGCTGCTCAGGGACTTTGGTCTCACCAACATCACAGCAAGAGCCAGCCATAAAGGCTGGACATAGGTCTAAGTATTCCCAGTCTTAGGGAACTTGAATCTGGACCTGTCTGCTGATCAAATCCTAGACCCTCCCAGCACACAGATGTCTGCTCTGCACTCAAGGCAGATCTCCATCTCACACACGCCATGGGCTGGGGGAGAAAAGAACTTTGGATTCAAGGGTCACCTTGACTGCTCCACCCCTAGTCAAGGCAAAGCAAGGGGCATAAGCAACCATCCTGCAGGGTTACACATCTGCCATCCCGGCAGAGTACCTGACATCCTGAGGAGAAGGACCAACCCACTCTTTCCACAAACACCACGTGGTTCCTTCACCCCACAGACCAGTCCGTCTGTGACAGGCATTAGCAGGAGGCCCCATGCAAATGATGATGCCACTCAGCTGCATCCCCATGGGGTTGGAGGCCAGGTTCTGTCCGAGGGGGTGACCCGAGTGAGTTGACCCCCAGGTGAGAATGGTACTAACAGAGTAATTTGGGCATGCAGCCTGTTGGATAGGCCTGGGAGCAAATCAGGTGGAAATAAATACTCAGGGATCAAGAACAACGTTCTGGCTCTTCTCCCCACAGTGGGATTTGGTGCTGGGAATTCTCCTGCCCCCAGCTCAGGTTTAGGGTAATGGGAAGTGACCCTATCCCCACAAGCACCCAAAGGGTTTAGACACCCATCACTGGTGATTCCTGTCCTCATGGCACCAGTGAGGGGGAAGGAATCACCCCTGTGCTTTTTTGGCAAGTCCTTGTTGAGGGAGGCCTCTTCCTCTGCTGTCCTGAGCAAGGGTCACTAGAAGGCTCAGGTTAGGAGGTCCCTCAGCAGTAAGATCCTGCCGACAACAGGGATGGGGGAGGCACTGGATCCTTCTTGACAGCTTCATTGCTCAGGGCCAGATGTGCATGTGACAGGTCCACTGAGGTCAACGGACCATGTGCGTGTGTGAATGCACCTACCCTGAGCACAACAGGTTAACCATCCTGACTGCAGGCAGAGGAACAGCCTGTCCCCTACCCCAGCCTCCTCCTTGTCCATCAGCTTGGCATCAATGCTACCTGTTCCCTTTCTTGGCATTGCTAGCAAAGCCAGGGGCCTGGCTTTAACCCTCTAGGGGAATCCACACTGGGATTTCACAGTTTGTCCAGAGGCACATGGTGTTTCGCAACAGCTCACTGAGACCAAAACTCCATGTCCTGCCTGTTCCCAGGACTGGGCCTGAGACGGTAAATGAGATGGGGCAGATTTGCCCACTGTGCAGGGAAGGCACTGGGCCTGTGGGTGGGGGAGGGGAGGCAGGATTAGGTTTAAGGCAGCTGGAGTGCATTAGCCAGGCTTGCTTAATTAGAATGAGCATGCAGAGCCAAACACACCAGGATTAAACAAAACCCTCCAGGTTAACAAACCGGCAGGCTTCAGCTGAGGTGGCGAGATGGGGGTCAGCCCAGGCTGGGAGCTGCCCTAACCCCAGCCCCACTCCTAGGCCACCCTCCCCCCCTGTTTAGGGTGGCAGAGCCCTCAAAAGGAAGGGGCTGCAGTCTGCATGTCATTCAGCAGCAGTACCCACACCTCCTCCCTTTGGGAGCTACTGCAAGGCCCCCTGGGAGGTACTCTTGGGTACTTACCCCAGCTGTTCAGGTTTCACTATGCTTTTTCCTTCCTGTCACAGAGAGTGCTCTGCTGAGGTGGTCTTGGTGGATGCCCACTAGCACATGGGCTGGGAGCTCATGCACTTGTTCATGCTCTTGGCTCACTCAGGCAGGTGCCATGCACAAGCTCTCCTTCCTCTTCCCAGTCAGCAGGGCTACAACTTACTGTTTTTTAATAAAAACTGAGATGCAGATATCAACAGGTAAATCAGGACAAGGGACCCAGGTTATCATGGGCCCCAAATGTCTGTATCAGACTGGAAAAGAGCTGGAGGAGA